AGGATTATTAAAGGTTGTAATCTGCTATCTTTATCAAGAAGTGCTTCACATCTTGCTTATTTTCAGTTAACCAAACTGTGTCACATGCATATAACAAGTCATTAAAAGTCTTTCTGCAATCCTCATGCCCTGTTGCTCTTCTTTAATAAGGTTTCCTGGATTACTTGCTCAGCATACAGACTAAGTGTGTTAAAAGGCTGCAACCTTGCTGCACACCTTAACTCATTTTAAACCATGTAGCAAGAGTCCCTTTGCTCTATCTGAACTACAAGTGTCCCTCTTGTTCTATGGACAGGTTCCTCAAGAGCACAGTGAAATGTCCTGGATTTCCCATTCTTCACAATGGTAACCATTGTTTGTTTCTATCCAAACAGTTGAATGCTTTTGCCTAATCAGTAAAACACAGGTAAACCGTTCTCTGGTATGCTCTGCTTCCACACAAGATCCTTCGCCAGAGCCTTCTTCCTAGTCTGGTTGCTCTGCTGAAACCTGCACAACATGGGTGACTCTGCCAGTATGAGAAATACCGGTGGCATAGAGTCCAGCACCACACAACATAGAAGCCACACGGATGCCACAGGGATGGGTTGTTAAAAGTCTTAGAGTGTGTTAAAGGCTACAGGCTGGCATCTCTGAAGATAATTAACTAGCCCTGCTCCTCCTCCTCATCCCTGGGGATCGTCTCAATGCCACTGCCGACCAGAATGAGAAAAAAGTGTAGGTGGAGACAATCATGACAATCACGCCTATTTTTGAGCTCCCATCTCTAATTAGAAAAAGAAAAAATCAACCCTATGAAATTCTATTTTTTTGGTGAATGCTTTTACATGACCATGGGATTGTTAACCAATTAATTATGCGTTAGGGGTGAGATTGCTGCCCCGCTTGACCTTTCTCCATTTTTCAAGAAGGTGTCCTCCACCATATCCGGTGTCTCCTGACATCTCTAGGGTATAGTACAGCACTGGCCTCAGCAGGTGCTGATGACTGTTACAGGGATGAAGGTTCAGATTGAGATGCTAGCATACTGAGAAGTGCCAGTTGCCTCGGGGCCTTGGGATGAAGACTGGCTCTCTACGCATGAGACTGGTCAAGGAGCATTAGTCACGGCACAGCCAGGAAGCGAACAGTCGATTCAGCTGGTGTGTGGGGAAGAGTAATAAGATAATGGCAAGGGTAGACTTGGTGCTTGAATTTCTGGGTGGTGCAGAGTTGATGCTAGCCAAAAGGCTGGAGGTGGACTGCTC